ACCCCCCCCCCCCCCCTACATACCACACAACCAGAGAATGGTCAGGCCTAACATAACTTATATAACTATTTAATGGCACTGTGACTCTGGAACCAGGTCCTGCACTTCCAGGGCTCACCTGCAGGTGTCCGCAATTAAGCACCACCTGATGGTGATCTGGGATGGTATTTAATCGCTCCCTGCAGTGAGCCTGGTGCCACAGTATTGTCACCCTAACCTGTATCCTGAGTCCTGTATCCTGAGTCCTGTGACTTGTTGCCTTTACCTGTATCCTGGTTCCTGTTTCCAGTATCCTGTAGCCTCCTTGAACCCTATTGATCTGTGGCTCCCCTCTTGTTGCCCTGCTCCACAGGTTTGCTTGCCCTGTTGTCGTCTGTGTATGATTTTGCTGTTCGCTTCTAGTTTGGTTACTTTATGTTACTTGTGGGTGTTGGTGGGGTTGCTTGTGTTTTTATGATTTTGGTTGTGTTTAATAAACTATGAGTTTCTAAGCATTGTCTGGTGTGGTCACACATTTGGTCCTCCCGAATAGATACCTGCCTGCAGTGTGGGGACACCAGTGCACAGTATTGTGACACAGTAACTCTGTACTTAAGCTTTTGCACATGGTTTCATCATGTTGACCTTTTTGTTGACTAAATAATAAAATGCAAACTTTTATAATTGAGCTGTTTTGTGAGATCAGATTTATATAACTGCAGGACTTACTGAGAACTATATGTCTGTTATAGCTATGTGTTGATATGTAAAACCAAGAATGTTCAGCCATTATCACATCACTATATAGTTAATTATTTAAAAAATAACAAGGTAAGATGTTATGAGAATCTGAAATGTTTGGGATATACAGTACCGTATTTTTCCGTCTATAAGACGCCCCCATGTATAGGACGCCCCCCACTTTTCTTACCCAAAATTCAGGAATCAATATTTTCCATGCTCTTTTGCATAACTGATTATATCCTGTTTAAATTTTGCAGAGTAAGACAGCCGCTTACTGGTACCGGTATTTACCAGTATTTTTTGTTTGTTTTCTGACATTTTTATGGGCTCCCTGTTGCATCTGGGCACTGGATACACGCTCTCCGCAGCATCAGCTGACGTCAGGTACATAAGGCTCATGATTGGAGGAAACTGAAGGGGGAGGCGGGGCCCTTCGATAGAAGTGGAGGCGGGCCCCGGGGACGGAAAAGGAGGGGGGGCCCCGGCAACCACGGAGGCAGACAGCGCTGACAGGTAAGAAGTGCGCAGCCCATCTGAGACCCTGCAGAGCCCACTATAGAGAGTCTATGGTGGGTTCTGCAGGGTCACTCTCAGGTGGGCTCTGCAAGTGGCATAACTAGCAATCACAGGGCCCCATACAAAATTTTGCAATGGGGCCCTGTGATTTCTAGTTACGCCCCTGCTCCTTAGTATCTTGTCTTGAC